TTTGTTTATTTTTAGGTGGTGGTGAGGGTCCAACCCAGGACCTCGCACGTGCTAGGCGGACCCCCTACCGCTGAGCCACAACCCAGCCCCTCCAGCCGGTTCTTTGGAGCTGCCCTCTATCCCCCTGGACTTTCCATTTGGGCCTCTCACTGGTGCCCTTCACTGCCCTGTGCCATGGCATCTTCAGCCACTGCTTGTCCTGCAAGGGACCTGCTCTGAGTCCAGCTCCCAGAGGGCCTGGGAGTGTCTACTTTCCTTGCAGCCCTTGGTGACCTGTCAGGCACATCTGAATTCCCCACTGCAACTCCTGAGGGCAGGAGGCACAGCCAGGGCAGCCTTGTGTCCTCCAGCTCAGGYCAGGGCCCGGCCGGAGGGCCAAGATGTGGACAGTCATTCTTCTTCATCCACATTCCTTAAAGGCCAGCTGTGCCCACAGACCACTAGGGACGCCCTCTCAGCCACAGTGGACTGAAACGCAGGGACCTTGGGAGTTGGRTATGGCAGCAGAAATGGGTCCCTATTGGGGTGACAGTTAAAGCCAGGCCTAAAAGCCTTGCCAGGTGGGGGTGCTGTCGTGAGCCCAACAGAGCTGAGCASAGAGAAGAGGGGCAGAGCCAGGTCAGGCCCTGGGAGGCTGGGCAGATCTGTCTTTGCAACAAAGCCCCCCTCTGTGGAATGCTAGCGCTTCTGTGCCTCGCAATCATAAGTTCCCTGAGACAAAGAGCTGCCCAGGTCTGGAACTGTTCTCTGGGCCTCTCAGATGCTGAGCTGGGAGATGGGCACAGAAGTCCCACTGTGGGGAGACTGTGGTACGCGTCTCTCCTGCAGGGGCTCCCCTGAGCTTTGGGCTTGTTCCGACGTCCTCACGGCAGTCGGCATCTCTGCCTAAAYACCCACTGCAGAACTCTGGATTTCCACCCCCCAAATCCTCCTACACCCCTCTTCAAAAGGCAGCATAGTGCATGCCTGTAAGTCCAGCTGCTTGGGAGGCTGAGGCAAGGGGATGGCTAGTWGGAGAACAGCCTAGGCAATTTAGTGAGACTCTGTCACAAAATATTTGAAAAAGGACTGGGCATGGCTCAGTGGTAGAGCACCGGCMCAGCAGGTCCTGGGCTCCCTCCCCAGAACCCAATTAACAACAAAAGAAACAGTGGCAGTCCTATGGACTCGGCCTCCAAAGCAGGTCCCCAGGTTCCCTGGCTTCTTTCCCTGGCCCAAGCCAGCACCCTCACCCTGGGGMYWMGGGAGCAGCCTCCCAGCCCCTCCTGCTGGCAACCAGAATGAGGATCCACTTATGACAGGGAAGTCACAACTCCACCCTCCCTCCCTCCCTCCCCCTTTTTCTTTTAACTTTTCATCATGGAAAATTCCAGACACACAAGCCTGGAGCAGTAGGACCGCCCCCTCCCCAGGGACCCGCCMGCCCCTGTCTTGGATGGACAGCCGTGGTGGACCTTCTGGGTTGTGCCCAGGACATTCWCCCGGAGGTGAAGCCTTTTGAAGCACATCTCAGAGAGCGTCGCTCCATCTGTCAACACCGCAGAGCCACAAAACAGCGGCTTAAACCCTSGATCCCATGACGTCATCCCTCTGCTGAAACCCTCCCAGGGCCCCCAGCTCCTCACCCTGTTCCTGTCACCCAGCCGGGCCCTGACTGTCCCTTCCAGTCCCGCTTCTCCCCACACTGGCCAGCCTAGCATCCTTCAGGGGCCCGGGCCTCCTGGTCCGCGCGGAGCCCCGTTGTTCCCCAGGCTTTTTATGCTGCCTCCCTCGGGCCACGTGCGTTTTTAGTTCGAATATTTGGATTTTTTCCCTAATCGCAGTGGGAGGCCACGGAGGGAACAGAGCAGGAGTGTTGTGATTTGAGTTAGGGTTTAAAAATATCCTGCTGGCTGCTGAGCGCGGGAGGAGYGGGGTGGGGTGGGGAGCAGGGACCGCCATCCGAGATGCTGGGGACAGCAGGGAAGGCTCAGCAGGCGTTGCCGACACCGCCCCGACCAGCCCCCCACTCCTCTTATTTTTAAGCAAAGAGTAGATATAAAAATCACAGCTAAGTGTGGACACGGTTTGCCCTGAGTGACCCGGCCGACCAGCTCTGGGGCAGCTCGGCCTTGCCCGCAGGCTGCCTTCTCCAGGGAGACAGTTATAGGCACAAGTGGCATCACTGCACCTGGAACATGCTGACCCGCAGCGGGAGATGAGATCTGGGCTGCGCCACCGACAGGGCCAGTTCTCCAGTGTGGGGTATCCTGGGACGCTTTCCGGAGTCGGGGAGATGGCTGGAGGTGGGTAGGCACAGCTGGGCCACCAGGGGGCGCCCTTGTACCTCCTCTGGGGACTGGACGCCCCTGTGTGAAACCTGCCGCCTGCTGCCCTTGCCTTGGGGACCTACCTACAGGCAGCTTTGCAGGCAGAATCTCTTGCTGTGGCCACCTTGCATGTCTGCTTCCCAGCCAACATCGTGGACAGTCTAAACAGGCTGGCCCCTATCCTGCCACTTGCCTGACGGGTGACCTTGGGAAAGGGACTTGATCTTTTTGCACCTTAGAGTCCTGTGAAAGAAAGCCTCTTTGGGGCTGAAACCTGAATCAACTCACTTTCACCTTGGCCTTCTGGTAACTTCTGTGCAGATTTGTCCATCAAATAGGGACTGCCCCTGCCGTGAGCCAGTGCTGCGCTGTGCCCTGGATCAGCGGCCACCCTGTTGCAGGAACAGAAAGCCCTGAAGCSCCCTCTGCCAGGCAGCCCTCCCCGGGCTCTCCAGGGGGCTAGGTACCTCCTGTGTTCCCACCTGCCCCTTCTTCACTGTTCTCCCACCAGGGGCAGGGTGGACCTCGCTCTCCACACTGAGTCTTTGGAGGGTGGGGATGGGCCTCTTCATTCTGAGTTCACAGCCAGGTGGCAAACAACAGTTACCCAAGGCCTGGCTCACTGCACGACCTGTCCTCCRAGGCAAGAGACAGCTCAGTCCAGAGTGGCAGGCCTGCGTGGAAGGGCCTTCACGAGCCTGGCTCTTTCTTTTGCACGGTGTGTGGCCATGACCCACCAGAGGGTGGAGCCGAGGCTTTCCTAGGGACCAGGGTGCTGGGCAGGGACAGCTGTGGCAATAGAGGACATGGCTGGGGCTGCTTGGGAACAGATGGGTGGGCAGCCAGTGGCAGGGCTGCAGCTGGACCCAGGGTTGAAACAGGTCTCTAGCTCAGGTAAGCAGTGATACTTTTGGCACATGGAGGGTCGTGGGGCTGATGTTGGACTCAGCCTTGGATGCCCTGATTTTGAGGCCCTTGTGGCCCCCAGGAGAGCAATCCTCAAGAAAAGGACAGTAAATGGCAGGGAGTAGGCTCTCACGAGGGAGGCACAGAGTGCAACCAGCTGCCCTAGGCGATGAAGGAATTTGGGCCCCTGGCTGGGACAGTGTCAGGCTGGCTCTGCCTCCCTTGTTTCCCTTCCTTGCAGACATGTGCCAGGCAGAGCTTGGGTCACAAGCTGCAGAGCAAGACCAGCCCTGTGGCTGCTCCTTTTCCTCCATCCCCACAAAAGAACAGTCTTTGAGAAGAGCCTCCAGCACAGGGCTCTGGCTCCCCATGGTAAGACTCCACCAGCCAGGAGGGGAGCTGCCCTGACCACCCCTGGGGTTATGGTGGCAGAGGAAAGAGCATCCTCCAAAGCCCCCTGCCCCTGATTCTCCTCCTCTAGAGGGTAGAGCTGCCTGCTTCCGGCAGCAGGTGGCTGCTCAGACTCTTGAGGACAATGCTGTGAGCTGCAAGGAGCCCAGGACAGCAAGGACGGATGAGCTAGGGGCTGAAGCAGTCACCCTCCTGGCTGGTGGGCSGGCCAGAGCAAGCTGCAGGGGGTCAGCTAACCACAGCGAGAAGAGAGCAGAGTGGGAGTTCTACCTCTGTATTGGCACTTCCCCTCCTGGGGACTTTCCAAATGGTCAGGGAGTTTGCTGCCTTTTTATTATGGGCCACCTGAAATCCTTTTTGGTCAAGGCAGAACTTAGATGGGAAACTGGACCCTGGGCCCCAGCCCAGAGTGGYCTCTGGGAAGGCAAAGGGTGATGTCAGAGGAAGCCAGCCTTGGCTGTGGCACTGAGCTGGGGAGGAAGACTAACTCCCCACCCTGTGTGGGGCCAGGCAAGAGCCACCATGCCTGCCCTGAAGGCATGGTCTCTACTTCCCAGATGAAGCAGAGCTCTGAACCATTCTACAGCTTATGCTAGGTTGTTGGCAGCTGCAGACCTAGCCTGGGTGCCCAGCCCTGCATGTGCCCCATCAGTTCTCAATGCTTTGGGAAGGTGGATGAGATCAAAKGCCAAGCTCAGCCTGGGCAGTTGGTAAAGAAAGTTCAAGAGCCGGCTCTAAAACCAGTATTTAGACCTCTCTGGGCCTCAGTGGTCCCATCTTTAAAATGCACATTATAGGACTGATCTGCTGGATGAGGGCTTGGTGAGTTACCTGCATTTGTAGGACAGTGGCCAGAAAAAGTTGCCTTTGGCTGCTGTTCAGAAGAGACCTGGGATCCAGAAGTATCCTGCTAAGGACTAGGCTCTGGGGCCCAGGGTGACCTGGGGAAAGGGACTTGGCCTCATTAGACTAGTAGCCATCATCCTAACTCCTCAGCTGTGTCCTGGGAAGATTCTGGCTGTGCTGTGTGGAGCATGTGCTGGATTTGGCCCTTTCCTGCCCAAATCATGCTCAAAGAGGCTGCCACAGCAGGCCACAGCAGGCCACAGTTGGGGGCCTCCTGGCAGGTGTCTGGGCAGGCCTGGGCATCAGAGGAAGCACATAAAATTGGGCCAGACACAGCAGACCCTCCAGGGCCTCCATTACATTGAATGTTAACAAAGGCAGATGTCGGGCTGCTGCTCTAGGACTGGGCGTGGRGCGCCTGCGCGGACCATGGGCCTCTAGGTAAAAAAAAGAGAAGAAAAATGCCAAGGCTCCGGCCTGGGCGTCGGTGGGCAGCAGACACTGACACCCGAGCAGACATCCTGAGTCGAGAGCAGACATCACTTTAATTCTGGTCAGGGTCWCACACTCTGGGGCCGGGCGGGCCAGGGCCTGCCCACCTGCCTGCCACCCCACCCCACAGCAGGATCCCCGGCTGCTCCCAAGCACATGATCATTTACAAAAATAAATATGAAAAGCAGCAACTCTTTCGTGATGGAGGAGTTAATCTGACATGGATTAAATGTGCCTAAGCATCTGGCTTATCTCTGAATTGCACCGAGAGATCTGGAAGCACTTGGTTTGGTTTAGAGGCAGAATGGAGGGCGGAGGAGGGGCCGCCCGCTCCGCGGTCACATCTCCGAGTCTGCGTACATGCCGTTGATCAGGTAGTCCACCTGCGTGTAGTCCTTCTTCTTGTAGCTCTCGTAGGCTTGGAGGGCGAACAACACCAGCACTGTGATGAACAGGGTCACCCCGAGCACCAGCACYGCCAGGAGGAACGTCTTGTTCACCAAGGACGGGGTCAGGGGCTCGGTGGTGACCACCAGGTACTGGCCTTGGGTGCTGAGTGGGCACATGTCCGTGGGTGTGGGCCCTGTGGAGGCAGCACCAGGTGTGGTCTTGGTTTTCACCTGCTCCGGTGTCTGTAGTGTGCCTGGGCCACTGGCCCCCTGGGTGGGTGACRACGGGCTTGGCTGAGTGGTGGGGGATGTGGCCTCCACCTCAGGGGTTGGGCTGGTGTGAGGCACTGGCACTGTGCTGGCAGCTGGCTTCTCAGCTTGTACCTGGGTGGCGGTCACTGCCGTCAAGGAAACCACAGTCTCCACTGTCGAGGACACTGGAGTCTCGGAGTGGGTGGTGGTGGGCTCTGGGGTGGTGTCTGGGGGGCGTGTTGTGTTGAGCACTGGCTGGCTTGGCAACACCCGGATGGTGGGACCTTGTGCTTGGGGATGGGCCGGGGGTGTAGGGCTTGCTGTGGAGCTGGGGGGCGTGTGCTCTGCAGGACGGAGCGTGCTGTTGGGACGGCTGGTACTGGTCGCAGTAGCAGCCAGGGCCCGCGTGGCCTCTGTTGCCACTGCTGCTGCTCCGGGCAGTGCACTGCCATGTGGTCCTCCTGCGAGGGGCGAGCCGGGAGACGGGGGTCCTCCTGCGAGGGGCGAGCCGGGAGACGGGGGTCCTCCTGCGGGGGGCGAGCCGGGAGACGGGGGTCCTCCTGCGGGGGGCAAGCCGGGAGACGGGGGTCCTTCTGTGAGGGGCGAGCTGGGAGACGGTGGACCGGCAGCTGCTGTGGATGGGGTCCATCGTACAGATGTGGGGATAGGCGATGGGGGGGCAGCCGATGGAGTGCTCGCATTTGTCTTCTGTGTCGTCTCTGCTGAGGCTGGAGCARAGGTGAGCTTGGCTGCCACAGTCCCTTGGGTCAACATGACAGRAGCGCGTGTCACTGTGGTGGTTTTGTCATCTGTGTCCAGGGACGCATTTTTCTTCACTAACACRTTTTGTGTCTTGTTAGGGATTAGGGACCCTTAAAGCATAAAAAGAGATGCAATCACTTCCAGCCACATGCGGGTGCGCCCCTCTGTGGTCCCTGAGCRCCAGCGCCTAGGGTTGGCTTGGCGGGACTCTCCTCTCCACCCAGTGCATGCAGGGAGCCACTGGTGACTGYGGCTCCTCTTCCTGCCCCCTGGAGAAGCCCAGGCACTCTGCTTTTGGAATCCTTCACCCTCTCTGAACTCTGGCCTGGTGGAGGCTGAAGAGCTTTGCTATTTGATCCAATTCCCCAAATATGGCTGAAAGTCTTGSACTGCGGGTATGATACGCCATTAAAACAAACCCATCGTGCATGCTCCTGGGTTTATGGAGCAGGTAGCTGGCCTTACGGGCTCGAATCCTGCAAGATCCCTTAGCACTGGAACAGGTCTGTATGGGAATTCCTGGAGATGAACAGGCCTGGGGCAGTGGAGGAAGGCAGCTAGATACTGGAGGGGAATGACTGAACTCCCCACCAGGGCTCCACTGCTCTGTCCTTCTGGGGGTCCCCACTCACACGACCCTTTCCCAGCCCAGCACCTGGGAAGCTTCAGGGATTGCAGGCACCTCTCTCATGGGCTCAGGGTGCTTGGGGGCCAACCAGGGGTCTGTCCAGAAGCCACACAGCTTTTGCACTTACCTGGCTCCYGAGATGCCACTTGGCTTCCAAATAAGGACAAGGAGGAAAGCCAAACCAGCACGAGGGCTGTCCACATCTTGGGGGAGTCTGAGCAGGGCAGGGCAGTCCCTGAGGCTCTCAGGCTGTCAACGGTAGCTTTCTGCTTGGCTGAAGGATCTGGGGTCAAGAAGGCACCCCGGTCAGAAGGCRTCTGATCAGCAATACCTACCTGAACACTGCAGCCACCCTGGAGGGCTCTAGAGGGCCCAGGGTGCAAACTGAGCCAAGATCAGGCCAGGGAAAGCACCGGGTGGTAGCCTGCTGATAACAACGGCCTGCCTGGTTACCAGCTGAAGTGCCTGACCCACCTTCACTCTGAAGTCTCAGCCTGGGTGAGTCTACTCCCCCAGCCCCGAGGCCAGGGTCTGGAAGGGTAGGAGAAGGCCACGACTCGCCACACCAAGACCTTTCACATCCAGAGTGGCCAAGTCCTGGTCCTCAGCTTCTCCCAAGGTTGGCAGAGAACAAGTTAGGCCCGGGTCCCATGTGCACTATGTCAGCTGACTGCACCCTTCTCATAGGGGCCTCATGGAGCCACCCACCAACCCATCCCCCACTAGTCCACCTGAATATCCCCCACCCCCACCCACCCACTTACTTACCCCTCCCCCATTTGCTGAGCATCTACTCCTGTGCCAGGCAGACAAAAGATGAAAAATGAGCTGGGCATGGTGGTGCACGCCTGAAATCCCAGTGGTTTCAAGGCTGACAGGAGGATCATAAGTTTGAGGCCAGCCTCAGCAATTTAGTGAAGACCTAAGCAACTCAGCAAGATCCTGTCTCTTGGGGCTGGGATTGTGGCTCAGAGATAGAGTGCTCGCCCGGCAGGCATGAGGCACCGGGTTGGATGCTCAGCACCACATAAAAAATAAATAAAATAAAGATACTGTGTCCACCTATAACTAAAAAATAAATATTAAAAAAAAATCCTGTCTTGGTCTGGGGATGTGGCTCAAGCGGTAGTGCACTTGCCTGGCCTGGCATGCATGCAGCCTGAGTTCGATCCTCAGCACCGCATACAAACAAAGATGTTGGGTCCGCCGAGAACTAAAAAAAAAAAAAAATCCTGTCTCTAAATAAGAAAAAGGGCTGGGGGTGTGGCTCAGTGGTTAAGCACCCCTGGGTTCAATCCTCAGTACCAGGAAAAAAAAGACAAATGCGCACTCCCTCCTCCAGGGCACATGCAGCCCAGCAGGAGACACAGAAAAGAGGTCACTGCGGGCCAGCGTGAGCGTTGAGCAGGCCTGACCTGGGCAGGCCTGAAGCAAGGTGGGCTGGTCCTCAGGCAGAGGCCTTGAGGGTGCCTGGGTGAGGCTGGCAGAGGACAGGGTGCCACAGTGACCKCGAGGACACTGCGTTCAGTCAGTGGTGGTGGGGTGGGTGCGGCAGGAAAGGCTCCTGGGGAAGTGACAGCTGGGCACATTCYGAAAGCTGTCTGGGGTCACCTGGTGGAGGTGTGCTGTGGGCGCAGCTGACGGCAGCATCAGAAACTGGGGAGAGCAGTGGGGTGCGGCTGCGCCGGAGAGGCCRCCGATCCCACGACCACAGGCAGTGGGCATCTCACCTGCACAGCGAACACCTGCAGTCCTGCCTCTGGGCAGCACTGAGGTCACTGCGTCCCTGCCCAGGAGCAGCTGCTCATCTCCCACCAGGCGGCGTCCTCAGGAGCCCCCTCCCGCCCTCACGGCCTCTGCCCCGGCACCCCCTGCGCTCTGGCCTCCACTCCTGACCCCAGCTCCTGCCTCTCCAGCTCGGTCCTGTGCGAGGCAGGGGCGGTTTCTCTTCCTCTTTCACCCCTAGCATCCCGGGGACCACAGGGCACCTGCCACACAGTGGGCCACCAAGGTCCTCCGCTCCCCTCCACTTGCCAGCGAGGCAGAGCCCCTTCTTTCCTTTTATCGTTCTATAGGGGACACTGGGGGCCTCAGTGCATTTTTAGAAGAATCGTGTTCATTTGGTTTGGCTTTTGTTTTTTCCTTTTTTTTTTTAAAGATTTTTTTTTTTAAGATGGACATCATATCTTTATTTATTTATTTTTTATGTGGTGCTGAGGATCGAACGCAGTGCCTCACATGTGTGAGGCAAGCACTCTACCGCTGAGCTATAATCCCAGCCCCTGTTTTGTTTTTATTTAGTGTGGATTTTTTTTTTTAAAGTAAAATAATAACAACAATGAGCAGGAACGAGCATGAGAAAACCGGTACCCAGCAGTCCACAGAGAGTGAGTCCAGGCCCACAGCTGCAGGTAAACTGGGACTGGGGTGCTGGGTCAGCGTCTGTTCATCTGTTCATCCCTGGGGACTGAGGGACATACTAGATGCTGCCACAGGCGTCTTTTGGCTCCTAYGGTGCTCACAGCCCCTCCCTTGAAGAACCCAGGAGCCATGCGGGGGCGTGGGGACAAGCAGTCTGTGCAGGGCTCAGTCCCAGCTCTTGGGCTCACCAGRCGGGCAGGCAAGTCACATCACCTCGCTGAACCTCATCAAGGTGTATAAGGGTGACATGGGTCCATGCAGCAGGCACCCAGTGTGACACCTGGCTCAGCCATCAGCCACCCCAAGAAGCATGTCCAGCCATGCTGAGAGCTACACACAAGCAGCCCTGTGCTTCATAAAGGAGACCCAGTGGTGGCCAGTGACCGTAATCAATGGGGACTCCTGTGTGCGGCCTGTGGCTGGAACAGTCTTCATGCAGAACCTTTACGGAAGGCTGGGCTGTTCCCGGAGGCCTCTATCCCTTTCCAAGAGCCACTGACTTTTCTACCTTTAAATTGCAACTTCGCTAAAAGGGTCACAAGGTTTGCATTTGTTTTCTAGGGTGCAAAAGGTATYCCTTGCTCTGACAGAAAAAATGGGAGTGGGGTGGGGAGAAGAGACAGAGCAACATCCTGAGTGAAAGACCAAGATGGAAGGTTCTTGCATGAACTCACCATGCGCCCTCAGCCCAGGCAATGCATCGGGGCTCCTGGTAAATGCGTGTATTCAGAYGGCTCTCTCTGTGGCCAGTGATGTCCACGGAATGCCGTTACAGCACCAGCACTGGCCCGGCACGCTCCCTGTGCTGGGGCCCTTGGCTGGAAGTCGGCTGGTGGATCCAAGGTGGGAGGATGYGACAGGGCTTCTTATGGGCAAGGAGGATCTTGGCTCCCTGAACACACCYCAGGCCTTAGGGCCTTTCACTGCCCCCTGGTTGCTGAAAGTCTCTAGGACAGGCCAGGAGGCAAATACTGTRTCCTTTGTGGGCCAGCCTGTTGTGTGGCAGCTAATCAACCCTGCCACCTAGTGCACAGGCAGCCCTGCAGGAGACCTTCGGGATGGTGCTGCTGTATCCAATAAGACTTCATTTACACCAGCAGGCGGCTCGTGGGGTTGGGCCCACTGCTGCTCCAGCATGTCTGCCGACCTCAGGGTCGAAGCTCCAGCTAAGGCAGGGAAGGACTGAGTCCATATCCCAAAGGACTTGCTCCTGTCCATCCGGTTCCTCACCTGGGACAGAYATGACCTGGGGCCTCTACTCAGTCTTCTGCTAGGGGGCACCTCCTCTGTCCCCCAGCACCAGTGAGATGTAGCATCTCTTGTGCGTATTACGGGGCCCCTGAGAGTATTGTGACGCGAGGCTGAAAGAGTCTCCTGTAGGAACCTGCATTTGTGTCATGGAAGCAGAAGAGAACTACAGAAGACTTCATGGTCTCCATGCCCTACATCTGTCCCTGCCTGGACCGCCATCCTGGTCTACTCAACAGGCAGGACCTTTGATGGCAAAGGCCATATACCACATCCCCCTGGTACTGGAAGGCTTGGTTGTCTTTCTGCTGACCCTGCAAAGCCCCCTCAGGGGTCTCTCCAAGCTTATTGTCCCATCTCCAAACAGGCAGGCCCACCCTGCAGGGCTGGGGACACTCACCAGAGGCAGCTGCTCAGGGAGTSCTTGCAGGCTGGGCCATCTTCCTCCTCGGGGAGCTGTGGGTTTGGCACTGCAGTGCTCGTCAGGTGAGGTCTGGCTGCGTAGGTGAGAGCAGCTTGGCAAGGCACCCCCAGGCCGTGGCATGCTTTGTGGCACGTGTGGCACCAAGGTGAATGCTCCCCTGTGGTGACCGATGCATCTAGGGTTGGAGAGAGAGTGAACACTCCTTAGGAAAAGCCGGGGAAACACTGGGCAGGGGGCAGACAGGGCAGAGCACCACTGAACAACTGATCAATATGATCGGAAAGTGAMAACATTCATCAAATGCCCAAACTTCTGATGTAGCAATTTCTACTGCAGGAATGTCTTCTGGGGAAGCAACTGGACAGATGTACAAAGATTTTCTTCATACATTATGTTCAAAATAAAGCAAAATACTCTACTAGTTCCATAAAGGACTGTTCCATTCCATATAAAATACTATGCCAGCTATTAAAATATGCAAATTTCTATTTATTAACCTGGAAAGAGGCATAGCATGCATCATTACACAAGCAAAGCAGGCTTCACAATAGAATGCATACCATGAGTTCTGTTTAAACAGAAATTTAATAAAGGTCTGGAAAGAGTTATACTAGAAAGTTACTAAAGATCAGCCTTGGGGAACAGACTGATCTGCAATTTTTACTTTCTTTCTTTTCCACATTTTTTTTTTTTAAACAAGCATGTATCACTTTCGGAAAACACTTCTGAAAGGCTCCAGTTAAACAAAACTGATTTTCTTAAAGTACTTTGAGCTAGTAGCACAATGTCACAAAGTGATCTCACTTGACACTGCTTTATGTGTAGATCTTAATAATTTAGAGAAACTATGTGATTTACAGATCAGGAAGCACACTGTTCTAGGAGCCAGCTGGAGCTATAGAAGAATCCAGGAGTCCCAGGTATAATATAAAGATATTAAGCAGCACAAATGATTCTCTCCTTGATGAATATTTAATGTGAACCCAGAAGATTGTAGAAACAGCTCATTACCTTCTATAGTGGGCAGATATTAGTAGGTGCTGATGTCCAGAGACCCCCATGGGCCTGCTCCCCAAAACAAAAGGCCAGGTGCATACACAGCCACAAACATATCCAGCAGCACATGGCCATATGTGCAGTCACACCTGAACACACACACATACACACACACACACACACACACACACACAGGTGAATGCACACACAGAATATCTCCATAAGACTATCTCTGAAAACTCTAAAACTTCCCCAGAAAACTTCTGCTGAATACCACCCTGTTTATTCACTCCTGGCCAGCAGCACTGGTGGTCACTCCCACAGAAACAGGAATGAGTTATCATGTGGATTCAAGAGCAGGCCTTCATTTTGCCATGACTTTAACTCTCTGGTATGGTCCTGCCTCCACTTTTCAATAGAATATTCTCAATGTCAAGGTCACAGGTGGGGACCTGTACTAATGTTTACAAGCTGACTCAGAATGGAGAAACCATTAATGTGATTTAAAATAATAGTTTTCCCTGAAAGGGTTTCTGTGAGCCTTAAATGAAAATCTAGCCCTCAGGACCTATCTAGTTACTCTCATTATTATCTAGAGAAAGAATTATTAAGCTGGGTGTGGTGGCACACACCTGTAATCCCAATTACTTGGGAGACCCAGGCAAGAGAATTGCAAGTTTGAGGCCAGCTTGAGCAACTTAGCAAGACTCTATCTGGAAATAAAATTTAAAATGCACGGGAAGGGGGCTGGGGGTGTGGCTCAAGCGGTAGCAGCTCTCCTGGCATGTGTGGGGCCCGGGTTCGATCCTCAGCACCACATATAAAATGCACAGGAAGGTAGCTCAATGGAGGAGTGTTTGTTTAGCCTGTGCAAAGCCCTGGGTTCAATCCCCAGCAAGTATTTTTGTGTGTATGAAACAAAAAAAAGAAGTTTTTTAAAATAATTAAGTTAGCTGGGCATGGKGGCGCATGCCTGTAATCCCAGTGGTTCCTAGCAGCTTGGGAGGCTGATAGGAGGATCTCAAGTTCAAAGCCAGCCTCAGAAACTTAAGCAAGGCCCTAAGCAACTCAGTGAGACCCTGTCTCTAAATAAAATACAAAAAAAGGGCTGGGAATATGGCTCAGTGGTTAAGCACCCCTGAGTTCAATCGTACCAAAAAAAAAAAAAAATTCAGTCAGAGGCCAGGACAGATAAAAAATTGAGAGATAAGTTGTTCCTTTTCAGGAATCAGCTCTCCACAGGATCTGCAAGGAATGTGCAGCAGGGCACACCCTTGGGCCAGGTGACAGCCCACAAGAAAGGCACCCCAGACTTGTGTCCCTGAATGCCAACTTCCCTACCCTTTTCTGCTCTATGACCCTGAGATGCCTCCCAACCCCTCTTGTCTCTGATTTCTTGTGCTCCCAACCTTGGCTCAATTAAAAAAAAAAATTTTTTTTTAGTTGTAGATGGACACAATATCCTCATTTTCATCTATTTATTTTCATGTGGTGCTGAGGATCTAACCCAGGGCCTCACACTCGTGAGGCAAGCACTCCACCAATGAGCTACAACCCCAGCCCAACCTTGGCTCAGTTTTCAACTCTCTGTTAGTGATACATAGGATGCTTCATGCAAGTTATGTGAAATTGGGAGTTAAATTCGTTCTTTCTTTCTGGCATAAACAGATCCAAYATGAATAATCCTCAGTCTTGGTAAAGTACTACCAGTGTCATGTCCATACTCTGTCATGTTATTATTAGCAAGAACATGGTTCTAGTCCCTACTTTAAGCCTAGGAAGCTGTACCTACATACCAAGGAACAGGGATAAAGTCAACACAAGGCAAACTGTGTACACACCTAATCCTGACACGTCACAACTGAACTTTGGTAGCAGAACCCCAAGGAACACAAACTTACAGTTTTGTGTATATAGACACTGCCCTGTGGTCCAAAGGATGTGTCCATGTGGCAGATAGGAATCTGGAACATTGGACATCATCTTAATCACACTGCTTGCTTCCAGGTTTATGGAAGTTTTGGTATCATGGCTAAATGCTAAAGTCTAGCTTTTGCTGGTGACATGGGTAGATTTAACATTCCTTTGTTTATTAGGCAGGCCCAGCATATACATGGGAAATTTGTATTCTAAAAACTTTTCTTGTTGATTTCATTGAAAATCCAAAGATACTTCCTTGGGGTAGAAATAATTGCAAAGTGTTAAAGGCAAATTTCTAAGTACCATGTTTCTTGTCACGTGCGTGTTGATTTCGGGCATCAGCCTAACAGTTAAGTGCACACACTAAGCAACCTCCTGGGGGAGGTAGGCAGGTAGAGAGATGGGCAGGGGGGAAATCCGACGGAAACCCACAGCCCCTTCCCAGGTAGAGGTCTGAGGGCAGAGGCCTGGGTCACCCAAAGGATCAACTCTCTCTGAAACCACCACTCCAGGAGGTCCAGTCTGGCCTGGGACTTGCCACAAGAAGACCTCTTCGGTTCTCYGCGCCCTCAGGAATGTCCCAACTGCCCCTAAACTGGCACAACCCAGCCTCTCCCTTCAACCTCCTCCCTCCTGGGCCCCGTCCATGCTCCTCCAGGGCCACGTCCTTCCTCCCTCCCTCCTCCTATTCCTCTCCTCAATTCCTCACCGCCTTACACGCTCCGTCCCCATTCATCCTTTCTCGTGTCCCCCTACTCCTGCCTCTCGCGCCCTCATTCATCCTCCACCTCCCTCTCTCAGTCCGAGGCAGCCCTAACAACTGCTCCTTGGACTGCAGCGCGAGTCCCTTACCCGGGCGCGGCAGGCCCGCAGCGGCCCGGCGGCCCTCGAAAGGCTGGGAAGCGCCCGCGGCCGGCGATGGGACGTGGCGCGCGGTTGAGCCAAGACAGCTGAGGCCAGCGGCCCCGGCTCGGGCCCCGCCCGGGCAGCCCCGGAAGTGACGTCACGAAGGAGGGCCYCGGCGGTGCCTGGCTCAGCTGGAGGCTAGCCGGAGGGTGGGGGCGTGGTTATACTCAGCCCCGCCCTCCGGGGGGCCGGCCGCCGCCCCATTTCGCTGACGGCCGGAAGGAGCTGTTATCGGCCGGTCTTGGCGGAAGTGGGCGAGCGTTCCCCGGGTTCCCCAGTTTAGTTGTGTGCGGCGGTTCCGAGGAACTCGGGTTCCCAGGTGGGGCAGACGTGCCCCGGCGGCGCTTCGGGGCCGAGGCTGGGGATGGCCGAGAAACTCCGCGTCAGCCAGGTCGCTCTCGCCGTGTCCCTGCGCTTCGGCGCTGACGTTCACGGGCCGCCGGGGGCCGCGCCGGCGTGTCCCGAAAGTAATAGGCGGGATGGCGACCGAGGCTCCGAGCGCTCGCAGCCGGCCGGCCAGCGGTGCGGTTCTGAGCCGCGCGCACGTGGAGCTGCGTCCCGTTGCGCAGCAGCTGGGGCTCCCGAGGGGCTTCCTGATCGTCGGACGGGGGATGGCCGCGCCGAGTGTGCGGACTTGACTCCACTTAGGAACAGGCGACGCGGTGACAGGACCTCTCGGGTCCCCCGAAGGCCAAACCGAGGCCTGCGAAGGACGACCTCACCGAATAAACCGAAAAGGCTTTCTTTCCGTGCGACTTTATAACCCGTCTTGGGCTCCTGGGTCTGGGAACAGAAAAGCCGAGGTTGCAACGGCAGGATCCACTACCCACCTCTGAGCTCAGGAAGCCGCCGCCCCCTGCTTCTTGTGGAACTCACCTGTGCCACTGCCAAGGCCACCTGAGGGCGGCCTTGAGAAGACTAGATTTTTTTGCTTCGTGTTGGCTTTACAGTCCCAATTAGCTCAGTTCCAACAGGAGAAGTGCAGTGTCCGAGCTCACTGGCCGAGTGAAAATACACCTGAACAGCCAGTGCGAGCCGTTCTGTGCTTTCCCTCTTCAAAAGGCAATGTCTGTGACTCAATTTTCATTTACTTTTTTAGCAAAACTACTTTAAAAAAAAATTACTTCTAGGGCTGAAATTACAAAGATATGACACAGCTTTCCTTCTCTCTGGAGCAGGGCGAAGGAGCTSGCCCTGCATCTGCTTTTATAAATAAAGTTTTATTGAAACACAGTCATGCTTCTATAAGTATTGTCTGTGGCTGAGCCTTCAATTATGGARCTGATGAGTGTTTGCAGCAGAGACTGTAAGGCTTACAAGTCCTAAAATATTTACTTCTTGACCCTTAACAGGAACTGTGCACTGATCCCCAGTCTAGACTATTACTAGAATGTGTTTCAGAAAAYAGCTGAAATATCTGGCCAATTTGGTCCACCACACTGGGAAGTTCATTCTCTCATATTGGAATCTAGCACCTGGACTTTATAACCCACCTTGGGCTCCTGGGTCTGGAAATAGAAAAGCCGAGGTTGCAGAGGCAGGATCCACTACCCACCTGAGGTTAACGAGGTTAAAATAAAAGCAGAGTTTTATTTGGGTGTAGAATAGATTGGCTCAGTTTAGAAACCCGGAGAGCATTCCATCCASGTTAAACAGAACTGATGATTTTATAACCAAAAGGAGCATTAGGGGATGGGAGTGGAGAGAGAGGATCCAGGCAAATCCAGTGGTTGGATACAAGACAAACTGACATAAACCACTGAGTGACACGAGTTTTTTAAAGTTCATTAGACAATCTAGGCCAACTGGCAAACTGGCCAATCTAGTATTCTCAAAGCTTGTCAATTATTATTAGATTCAGAAAACCATTGCCTCTGGTGGATTGAGTTCTGGACACAATATCTTTGTGGCAGTTTACCCCTGTCAGAAAAATTTRTAAGGGTTAGAAAAGGATTACTGCTCTCTTTGTATCTAATTTCTATGTTATACCTTTCAGTGGAGTGGGGTTGGCTGGAACCGGGTGTCTGCTGAGGGCACAGCTCTGGGAAATGCATCTCTGCTTCTGTGGCATACAGAGAAGAGGAATGCAGGGCAGGCTGGCTCTTCTCATKGTAGTGGGTAAAGTAGAAATGGGTACCCTTCAGCCTTCAGCTTTGCTAAGGGTGATCTGTGCAGAGATAGCTAAATAAACACAGAGCTCGGTCCTCTTAGTTCTTGAGTGGTTAGTTTGAATGCCAGTCAGTCTAGATGCCACMTTTGAAAATTAGGACTCTGGGTGAACATTATCTGGCTTCAAATGCTGGCTTCTTCCCCTTTTGGCTGAGTGGCAGAGGACAAGAGGCCTAGACTCRCTGTGCCTTGGCTTCATCAGTCTGTTCTTATCTATTGTCGTTATGTGCAATTGAGTCTCCAAAAACACTGACTTTTCCAATGCTGAGCCATTGCCCCAGGGGTGAGTCCCTGTGGGAGGCCACCCTGTCCATGAGCTGAGCATTCTCTGTCAGCCTTGAGTAAGGGGGGTGTTTGGTCTGGCTTCACATGCCACTCACTGTGCAAAGTAATGGCCTCCACCTTTGCTGGGCAGAGAAGTTTGCCCTAGCCCTGGACTTGGGCGTTACCCAACGGGACTGGACAACCCCCGTTTGAAACCTTTTCCTCTGCATTATTTGGTGAAGAACATACCATTGAAACTCATTTGTGGTCCCCCCCCCCCGTATAAAAACAAAGAGATTCTGGGTGCACGCTCTCCTGCCTTCCATTGTGGAAGAAGACCCTTGCRGGAGCAGAGTAGCCCCACTCTCCATCTGAGAAACTCATGTCTGTGTGTTGCATGATTTCTTTGCCGTTTTTTTAGTTTAATGTTGCAGCCAGCTCCTTTGAACCYAGCTCATCTCGTCAGTGTGGGTGGCTGTCGAGAAGTCCCTGAGAGGCTCTGCTCACATTTTTATCAGTCAACCAGCACATAACCTGGTCTCCTGTYCAAAGACACCTTATTTGATGCACAGTGCTGGCCCATAACATTGAACTCACGGCCATGCCTGAAGGGAGCTTGCCTAACATACCTCCTCACCCATATTTTTTCTTTGTGAAGCTGTGGCTCAAGGTCAACAGGGAACTCAGGCAGGAGCCAGACATCCTCTTTTCCCTCCCCTACAACATCAGCTAAGATAGTAACCTTGGGAGAAGGAGGTCTTCTCTTGACCGGCCCCCCAAGGGAGTTGGGCCATTTAAGAACAYGATGAGATGGAGCTGCATGGATGGGGTGGTCAGTGTGAGGCTTAAGGTGGAAGGGTCAAACTAGAGTACCTAGCGCCTTCATTTCCTGTCAGGAGAAAAGGGAGCAAGACGGGAACAAGTAAAGGTTATTAAATTGACTTTTAATAGAAACTACTTCTAAAGAATGATTCAACTGGGGTGCTAAGCCTCAGTCAAGAAAAATGGACCGTTCCGGAAAAAAAAACATGATCTGGATAAACTGGGAGAGAATTAGAAATGACCAAAATAAACTGGTGCATTCCACCAGGAGAATGTATGGAACCAAACCTTCAGAGGTCTGTTTCCTAAAACCGAACTGAATAAGAGTTTTCAGCAAGTCCTTTCTGGGATCAGTAGTTTAAGACTTAAAATCAAGAAGGAAACTGAAAGTCATGTTCCAAGTGTTTCTCAAACTTCTGGAAGGACTCGATAGTCATCTGAAGGCATGTATGAAAATAAAAATTCCCAAATTTCTGGCCCATTCCAGACTAGGTGAATCCATTAATGGGATCAATCTCCAGGGAAGCTGTTTACAGAACACTCCAGCTGATCCCTAGCAGGAAACACTACTCCACAAACTCAGTTCACTTAGTTTTCTTTGTTTCATGACCAGTTGATGAAGCCTGCTCCTGTTTACTCTGGGTGTCTGTACTTGCCTGTAGATTCTGAGTTTGGGAGATAATTTTAAAATGACTGCTTTCCAAATAAATGTCCTGAATTTTGAAAAAAATAGAGAAATAATAGTTTCTGCCTCATCAGAGGTTGGGCGAATTAAATTACAAATCATTATGTGTCAAGTGCTTATCATGGGGCATTGCACCCAGAGCACTGAGTAAATATGAGTCATTGTCACTGTCGATCCTAAAGAACAGGATTCTGGTATTTGGAATGAGGATCTCTGGGGTTTGCAGTCTGTCTCAAGGGATTGCAAGCCCTCTCCACGGAGCTGCTGTGCTCACGCCAGGCAGAAGCCCCGGCTGGCCACAGAAAGCTCCCTCTCCCTTCTGGAGAGCCATCTCCCCACTCATCAAAGGCAGTTCCTTCCAGCAGGAGGGTGGTGCTTCCCTTCATCAACTTTTATTATCAGTCCTGATAGTTCGTCTTTCGGCCCTGAACACGTGGAGAATCTTGAGAATGGAAATGAGTAACAGATGAGATGGGAAAGAACTGCACATGCATCGTGAGACCCATCCTCCTGGCTTGTCACCTGCGATGTGACAGAAAGATCAATTAGATTTTTCAGGTGTTTACTGTAGACAGCTGAAAAGAAAATTTAAGGATTACGAAATGGGAATTTGCCATTTAACAATTCTAAGGTGAATATCCATTGAATCTCATCCAGAAACACCATTTGACCAGAATCACATTTGGCCAAACATCTGGGCACCCCATGGCCCAATCAAGTTGATGTGTAAGCTTCATCCTCCCTTCTGAAGCTCGTTTTCCTGCGTTTCACATGCCAGCTTGAGAGCTCTGTCTGCACTGGGGGGTCCTTTCCTGCTGCCCGTCAGGAGCACAGCTGGTCTCCCGCTGTTTTTCTCACTGATCTACCATCCAGGTCAAGATTTCAGACTTGACCAGCTCCCTCAAAGCCGCCGGCGTGATGGTCTTTCCTGTCCTCCTGCCCGACTGGCCACACATCCCCTGGCTTTGGGTCACCCATCCTGCTGCTGATGGGTGTTGTTCAACACTTTGGCGTGCGTCCCTGGTCTTGTTCCAGAGCATCTGGTGGGTGACCGGTGCTGCACACGTTCATCTGAGTCTGGCTTTGGTTTTCCAGTAGGTGTGTGAGGGTCATTATTCACGGTGGTTTATGCTGA